CCTCCTCTTTCCACCCCACCCTCTGTGTTAGGGGAACCTGCACTGAGCTGGGAAACCTACCCGCCGGGCCAGCAGCTCTACCAGGCCCCGAGGGCACCAGGCGGGGCTGCCACGTGCCCAGAGGCCCAGTTACATTCGAATGTCAGCTAAACAACAGAATCTTTGGGTGGAAGTGTGCCCCATGCCATCTCTGAACTTCAGAAAAACATGATTTTAGTATAATGTGTCCCATGCGGTATTTGGGACACACTAAACGTTTATTCTCCATCTCTCACTTGAGTTTAACAGGTGTCCTGTATTTTATGTCACCCCTATACCCAGGAGATCCTCTATCACAGTGGTTCTCAACCTTTGCTGCACATTAGAATCACCTGGGAATCTTTTTAAAATCCTGATTTCTGGGCCTCATCCTCCGGAAATTGTTTCTTTGTTACTAATGTTGTGGCCCCACCCCATAACAAAGAAACAGAATTTCCGGAGGAAGAGGCCCAGAAATCAGGATTTTAAAAAGATTCCCAGGTGATTCTAATGTGCAGCCAAGGTTGAGAACCACTGTTCTAGCACCTTGGTCTGCAAACTGCGGCTCTTTGGCCCCTTGAGTGTGGCTCTTCCACAAAATACCGACTTCTGTGCATGGGCCACAAAGTTTAAATTGCACTGTACATGTGCGCCCGCACGTGGTATTTTGTGGAAGAGTCACACTCAAGGGGCCAAAGAGCCGCATGTGGCTCGCAAGCCGTGGTTTGCCGACCATGGGTCTAGCACAGTCCTTACCGCCCATTAACCATTGAAAAAACATGACGAGCGGGCTGCCTCCCCACTGGCCTGGCCGCTCTGTGAGGGCAGGGCCCACGCGGCCTTGATGGCTGTTTCTGACCCAGCCCGAGTGGTCATCTTTTTGCTGGTGAAAGGTCTTGCCTTCAATTTGTGAAAACGAAACATCTGTGAAGCGCAACAAAGCGAAGAGCAACATAACCAGTGTCTGTCCTGGAAACAGCTCCTCCGGCCAGAGCTGGGCACCCCCTGTTGGGGGTTAACTGGAGCCACAGGCACACTCTGGGGGAGCAAGGCCTTTTCCCCAAGGCCCCCCAGCCTCACCTACAGGGGGCGACAGGATGGCACCTGTGGGGGGGGGGGGGGGGGGGGGAACAGTGCTCACTGCCCGAGGACAGCTTCAGTGGCCTCACCATTTCACATTCACCAAGGACTGCGTTTACACGACAGCAGACAGCACTGGTCTCTCCAGGCAAGTACACCTGCATTTACCAGGGAGCAGCTCCCTGAAGGCCATGTGGGGGACATTTCCCACCCCACGTGGCCTCTGCGTTCCTTCCACTGTCCTGCTTGGCCATCCCCCGACCGGTTCTCCCTCCTCACCGATGTAAGGGTGCCTCCCTCCATGGCTCCCCAACGAGAGGGTCCCCACAACAGCACGGGAGGAGGAGGGAGCCCAGGCATCTGTTTTGAAATACAGGTGATTCTTAGCTTTCATGTTACAATCCACACTCTTAGGTCTGGAGACTTACAGGGAAATGGGGTGACACTGCCCAGAACCCCAATGGGTCCTTTTTCTTTCAGCTGCATCTCCAGAAGATACCACCTCACACCCACTCCATTGGGGGCAAAGATTTACACTCCGATTACCTGCACCTGGCAGCCTTTGTTCTGGGAGGGGGAAGGCACCTAGTGGTTCCGCCTCCTGGGGGTCCCTGGCGGTGGGCGCTCTGCCCGGGGGCTACCTGGGCCACCAGTGCCCGTCTCCTAAAGGGTCCAATTTCTCCCAGGCCGGGAAGCTGCGGACCACGCCAGCAGGACCCAGGGAACCAGGGATCAGTGGTCCCGGACGCCCCCAGCCCCCACCCCTGAGCTCTGCGCCCCTGCAGGGAGGGTCACTTCCTCCGAGGACCCGGCCCCTCCGAAGGCTCAGGACGAGAAGCAGGAGGAACCGGGAAAGGCCGGCCGGGCGGAGGAGGAGGTGGCGGCCATTCAGTAAAGCAGGAATGCAGCCATCGGATAATGTCTCTAAACCGCTGCAGCCTCCGGGCGCGGGGTGCAAAGTGCGGAGAGGCGGTCCGAGGCTCCTCGGGCTGGACCGGCCGCCAGACAACAGCCGGGCAGAGCCGGGCGCTGACAGGGACCAGGCTATGCGGGTCCTGCCTTCACCAAACCACACGCGCAGCGGGATCGGGGAACTGCGGTCCCTGCAGAAAACTCCCGCGACGGTCTGTCGCTGCTGCCTTCCTGCGGGACTCCTGGGCGGACCTTAAAAATACCAACTGGATCCGACCGGGAGGGGCCAGACCACCGGGGCCGGAGGGACTGAGCCCCGGCCCGGGAGGGGAGGTGCCCCCGGGCCCCTCTCCTCTCCGG